TTTTGTGGGGGCGGGGGCGTTAGTGAGGAGGCTTGCCTTTTCTTGCTTGAGGGCGTTTTGCCGATGCGCGGCACCCGATGCTATCTGCGGACACGCGCCAATGGAGGGGAGTTGGGGCGCCACGCTCGGGTGCTTTTCCCGCCCACCCGCCCCATACGCGTGGCCCTCCTTCTGGCGGCGGATGGGCGCACGAGCATCAGTGGCTTGACGTTGCCCATGCTGCTGCGCCCCTTAACGTTGCCAAGCGTGCGTGCCTTAAGGCGCCGCCGGTCCGTAAGCACAGGGCCCGCATGCTGCGGGCGGCGTCCAAACCCAATGTGCACTATACCCTATAATCCGATGGCTCTGTTGAGCGTGGAGCGAAGTCTGGCTGTGCCGTCCTTTCGTTTGGGCGCCAGATACTCGCCCATACGGCGGGGTGGGTGGCAGCTCGCTGGCGCGCGGGCACGGGGCGGAGCGCCTGGCCATGGAAATGGGCCTCGACGAGCCCCTGCTGCACCTACCGCCCACATCCGGCAGGCGAGGGGCGGCCGTGTTTACGGACCCGCTGCCACTCCTCGGTGCATTTTAAACGGGGCCCGAGCAGAGTGACGGATGGCGCGCCGTGTCGCAGGGGGGGGCCCACAATCAGCCTGATTCGTTGATGCGTGTGCCTGCCTGTCGATTTTTTTTTTGACACGCTGGCATCTCTCACAGCGAGGTGGCGGAGGAGTTTGCGAAAGAAGTCCTGGGAGCGCCTCGGGGTGTGCCAGTGTGAATCGCGGATGCCATCGCCTCCGTCGGGCGCTGCGGAACACCAAGCAAAGAGGCAAAAGAGCCCCCTCACAATCCAACCCAGCGTGGGCGTCTCGTCGGGGGGTCGAGAGACTCCAAAAACGGCCCCATGGTCGCGTGCGGGAGAAACGATGCTGGTGCAACGTCGCAAAGGCACATAGCGTCACTCCGGTTGGCTGCGCCGTGTCCTAGCGAGGTCGGTGGTGCCCGCCGCCCCCATCGTAGAGGAGCCCAGCCCCCTCAACAGGCTGCCCCCCCTGCAGTCCGGGCGGGCGGACATTGCTGCGCCAGCCCGCTATAACGCATATATGCCGGGCGATCGCCGGCTCACAAACACCTGCGAAGCCGCGACGGTGTCGGCAAGGCGCTGGCTCTGCGGGTGGCGAAATGGGCGCCGGCGAGCCCCGCGCGGTGGGCAGGTGGCGGCGCGCCCGAAATTTTGTTTTGCAACGATTATTGGGAAATCAATTCGTGTGCGCATAGCGGTGCACCATGAAGCACGCCGGGCCCCGGCGCCGCAGGTGGCTTTGGGGGCGCCCCCGGCACCGCGTCGCAAATCCCCGGGGCCTCCGCCAGCCGTTTCGAAAACAAGAACAGAGTTTTGCTGCTACGGCGAGGCCCGATGGAGCGGGGCGTCGCCAATGCGGAGTGGGGGGGCGGGGCGGGGCGGAACTCCACAAGAACCCGCCACCGCGAATGGGAAACGCGCGGCGTGGGGAACAGTCGCCATATGCCGGCCCGCGGCGGCCCCCCTCCAAACTTTGCTTTGGACGCCGACGAGGGGGGGGGGGCCTTAAAAGCGCTCTCCGCCCCCATCTCCTCTCTACTTATGCCCCTTTCCCATCTGCGTCTGGGGCCCCTTCGTGTTCTCCAGCCGCGGCCGGCGCGAACGCCGCCGGTTCAAGTTGAGAAGGGGAAGGCAGACAAAAAAAAAAAAAAAAANAAAAAAAAAAATAAGTAATTAGTTCGAGAGACTGGTGTGCAAATGAGACCGCCTCGCGCCTCGCCTTTCACCACGAAGCTTCAA